GACAACTGCAGATGATTTAGGAGAGGATTTCCATCCCCAAATGTATTTTTACTGTTGCTTTCTATTTCACTGTCCCCTTACCTCAGGCAGGTGCTGCTGTCCATTCCAGGCCTCTCAATGGCCCAGAAAAGACAACAAAGGCTGAGGCTGTTTCAGCTGCTTGGAGGAACTGCTGTCAGCAGAGCTGGAGTGGTGCTGTAACCACATACCTGGGAGTACAGATAACTGACATACAGCTCCACTGTCCTCAGAGTACTTGATAGTTTGCTCGTTCATTGAAAGGCAGAAGGTAACTCCTGGCAAAATATGGAGGGAGGGGTACCTGGCTCCTTGCAACCCCCGCAGGAATTGCCAGTGGTGGGAAGCAGTTAGCTCTCCAGAATGGCATGTCAGACCAGGATATAATTGCTTTGAAAGGGATGTCGTTTCTTTGTAACATGCCTAGTGATGCAGCATGACTTCAGCAGTGCATGGACTATCATGGTTTCTCGTTGTCCTTTGCTGGACAAGGGAGAAAATCCGTTACCTCTTCACAGTGCTAAGAAGCACTGCCATACCACATTCCAAGAGCTGCTCTGTATAAAACAGGACTCAGAGTTGGTGCTTGAAAGCCTTACTTACATGGTCCTTCCTCCTCTATATCGCTTCACTTTAAAAGGAATTCTTCCATTTTACAGCAAAGACATCCTTTTGTGTTGTAAATTTATAAATACATAGGCAGAATCTATAGCATGTTTAGCAGAGAGAAGCCCTGTCAAGCAGGTGATCCAAAACACATTCACTGTTAAGTCCACAACATTCAAAAACAGAGCAAGAGTTCTGTTCAGGAAGGACACTAGCAGGAAGACTCACCTCTTAAAGAGAGGCTGTTGCTACCCAATTCACAATTAGATTGCCACCCGCATGCTGGAAGTCAGGCTTGGCTTGGGGGGGTCTGTCACTAGTGAGAAGCTGGAAGCATTAGCTGTTGTGGAAATGCAGGAAAATACCATTATCTTTGATGGTTTGGGAGAAGGATGGAAGCATCCCCCCGAACAATGATCTTTGTAGACTAAAGATATATTTTACATTTACCTTTGCCTGTGTCGCCATAGAGAAAATGAAGTACTTAAAATTATTAGAGATTAGTCAGAAAAGGGTACTTGAAGAGATGTCTTAATGTTAAATGTTTTTTGCATGTTTTGAAGTATACAGGGTTTTTTCAGCGTACTTTGTAGTTAGCCAAGAACTCACATGCATATGATTAGAGGCCAAGGGGGAGAATCAGATTTGTCCTAGCTTAAACCCACAGTTTTTCTGGATTTCCTCTCTTTACTGAGGTAGTGATGATTATCCTTCCGTAAGTACATAATATGTATTTATATACAATAGCCCAGATAATATATTAAGATAATATTTTACCTAAGTAATACATTAAACAGAAAAGCCCCTCAAAAATAGGCAATTACATTTTTCAGACACTCTCCCTTTTTTCTAAATTGTTTAGAACAATACCAGTTACACCTACTCCAACAAGGGGAAAATAAAAATAAAATTAAAAAAAAATCAAGCCACAATTTCTGCAGCTGTGAAGTCCATCATTTGCCAGGGATGGGTAAATACTATCCAAAGTATAGAGCAGAAAACCACATCCAAGACAGGAGTGCAGCAACGTATGAGGAAGATAACAACTTTAGCGGCTAGCTGATACTGACCTTAAAAATCCTCCCAAGGCTGTTCCAACATGGGAAGCATTTCATAAACAAACCCCACCAAAACCAACTGCTGTCATTTGAGCCCTTTGCCAACAGTGAGTTTACATGCACAGTGCTCCTGTGATATACGGAGACTGTACAGGTTTACTGAAACACAATTGTTAAGTACTGTCCAGTGTTCAGCCAGAAAATCTGGAAACAGAATCTAGATGTTAGTCCATTGCCTTCACAGTTACAGAAGCCTTTCTTCCTTAATGATGAGTTACATTTACCTTCTGTTTCATGGTGTTTAAAAAAAAGTTACAATTTCATATTTATTTTGTATTCATGGTACAGCATACTTTATATACTGTCTTGTACTTTCAAGATTTTTTAAATAAAAGTATTTTTCAACTATGTGGTTCTCCTCCCGTATGCATTTACTCTCTTCAGAATAGCAGCACATATGACAAGGAGGAGCCAAGCAAATCGTGTGTACGTCCCAAGGTTTTCTCCCTTGTTGCAGATTTAAGAAACGGTAACTGCATTTAGCTGTGGTTGCTCCAAAATAGAGTGTCCCCTCTACTTCCAATGCATGTCCCTGAAGGAACTTGCCATGCTCCACTCATGACAGATCCAAACCACCACAAAGCCAAATTCATAAGGTGACAAGTGAAGCCTGGCAGTTAGACACATGAAAACAGCAAAACAAAACTAAGATCTCCCCCTGTCATTGCTTTTGTACACATGGAAGTTAAGCAGTTGAAATAGTAAAAAATCCCACGCCAGAAAGAAAAATAAATTCCAGAGACATGAGCTAATGTATAAGGCAGGTGCAATAGTGCAAACATATTCCATTAATCAGAAATAGAAACTGGAAGTATTTCCATACAAGCTGACATGACTGGCACTTAGTAGCCTCTGTCTCAAAACTGCTAGGTGACAAATGTAATCCAGTTTGACTTAGGGTCATGACGTCCTACATACTTCCCTATCAGCCTGTTTATGATGCACATTGGTGTGCATCCCTTACACTCCCCTCACCCCACAGGAGGGAATTTGTGCTTACAGTTGGATTTTATCACAAAACAGATTTTAACACTGCGGAGTAGTTCGCAGGCTCTAGGTTCACTACCCTCCAGGCAATATCCTCCAGTGAACCTACCCAAAAGTCATTGAATTATTTTCAATTCAGGTGATTACGTTCACTGCTGGCACCATAACATGAGCAAATGTAATAAAAGTTCAGACTGATACTATTAAATACATTACAGGTATTTTATATTTCTTACCACAGTTTTTACAGTTCACAAATATCAAAACCCAGGTGTACATGTCCATTTTGCAACACAGAATGACTATACAATTCCAAAAAGAGCAGGCATTTCAAATACACAATTCTGAAGTGTAAACACAGTGTACAAGCTCTTCACCTCACAATCCAGGTGCTATGCAGTAGCAGCTGAGGTAACACCATACAGCATGAGCTCAACAAATGGTTGGTTTGCCTCCAGATGATTTTTAGCATCCTTTGTCCTATCACCTGTTCAGTCCCCCAAGTGATACAAACATACAATAAATAAATTTCTGATTTTAAAGGACACTTAGACAAGTCATGAGGATTTACGTGAGTACAGTACATTTAAGTTCAAGTGCAAAAAAAGTTAACTAGTGGCTAGTCATCGATGTTTCTTTTTGTTGTCTATGGTGTTGGTCCCAGGCACCACCAGAACATGAACTCTTCTAAAAGCACAGCTAAAGCACAGCTATGGGACACCCCTTTGGCCAGGCTAACCTGATGTCAACGTGGGTAAAACTGCACAACCCCTCTCCTGCTTAGCCTGCTGCCATCTTCCTCTCCCCCAACCCTGTGCTCCCGTTAGCCTTGCCTCCGGATCACCGTACAGTCCCACAGCACGCACCTTCCCCATGGAAGGCCTGACACATCACATACATCTGATTTCAAGGCGGGCTGAGCAATACTCACTCTGTCCCTCAGAAGCTGAGTGCTCAGCATCTCCCAGGAACAAGCTATTAATATAAGCAAATGGCCCCAAACACTGTCCTGATTAACCCCCCCCAACTCCTCCCTGAGCCCAAGGATTTCCCTCCAGCAGCAATTTTCACTATGCACCAACAAGTGAGCTGGCCACAGTTAATATTGAAAAACATAACAAAACATAATCTAAAGTCTTCCAGTGTATTGACATTGGGCAAAGAAATTTCCTAAACTTACTGCAAATTAGTTACGTTTGCGTCCTCCTGAGAATCTCCTGCTCTACTTGATTTCTGCATCAACAACTTTGCCCCTATAATCCTAATTGTTAAGATTTTTAGGTGACCCCCCCCACCCCCCACCTTCCCTAGGCACTTAAAGCTTACTGTTTTCTTAATAAATAACCACAGTAACTACACTGCATTAAATAAACCATTGTCTAAATGATGAAGTAAAACCCCAGAAAGACAGTGTGTCCATTGGAACCCTTGATCACTCTCAGGTTGTACAATCTTGATCAAAGATTCCTGTCTCAATACAACACCAAACCTAAAAT